GAACCTTAGGACTGATTTCACCCGGCCTGCGGTGGAGGACCGGCGCCGAGCCCGCAAATCCCTGCGCCGGGAAGTGCGGGGGCGTTGCAGGCAGGGGGAGGGGAAAAGGCGGAAAACCTGGAGCAAGGAGGCGAACTTCCCGGGGGTTCCCAACCGCTTCCAAGAGGGGACTTGCGGACAGCCCATTGCCCCTCGGCTGCGGTATAAAGGGATTGAAACCGGATCAGCCAGCGACTAACGGCGGCGGAAAAAGCCATTAGTTAGAACCCGCCGGAAAAATCTGAGACCAAGGACTGCTGACTTGGGATCTTAGTCACCTGCGAGCGGCTTCCAGTGTCCCCCTAGTAGCATGTTAGGCGGTAGGTTTTCTTACAAATAAGTTCGAAGAAGTGGAAGCTAAAAACATTTANCCGGTAGATTTTCTTACAAATAAGTTCGAAGAAGTGGAAGCTAAAAACATTTATATTTGAAAATCAACTGGGCTCAGCTGTTGGCCACATTTTAGTATATCAAGGGCAGAGAGCGAATCCAATAGTCACCATAAGCCAGGCCTGGCCAATCTGGACACTGGGACAGGGACCAGGTCTGAATCAGGAAGGACAAGGGAGGTGGGGAGAAAGCTGGACAGGGCCCCACGGGGAGGGGGCGGCTTTTCTTAGGCTTTTCTCGAGTCTCTGCCACTTTTTTCCAAGCTTCTGTCCAGGACGCTCTACCCTCCCTCGCTCCCTCCAGCCGGGAAAGGGCTTCCTCCCGGGAACCCCGACTGGAATCGCGCTGTGCTCCCAGGTGGGGCCGGGGAGCCTTTCGCCAGCACGTGGTCTCGGTTCGCAGCAGAGCGCCGCCCCCACCCCCACCCCAGCTGCCCAGACGCCGCCCGAGTCCGGAGAGAATGGAGGAGCTGGGAGCTACGGAGGCAAGCTGGCTGGCCCGGGCGTCTTCCCGGCCGGCTAGGCAAAGCCACGTGCTAGCTAGCGGTCTCCTTGGATCGGGCGCGCTCGATTTTTGCTACAAATCGAGCTCCCCCGGTTTTCAGCGTCGCTCTGCGGGTGCGCAGCAGCTCACACTCAGGCACACGCACGGGCTCTCCCAAGTGCTTACACGTGCAGCCGCCCGCAGGCAGGACCCTCACGGCCCCCTCCTTAGAGAAGAAACCCGAGGGTGGTGTTTGTCTATCGCCCCCTTCCTCCCGTCTGCTCCCCCTGTAGGTTCCGCAGGCTCCAGGTCCAACCCCCGGTTCGGGAATTCCCGCAACCCTCCGGGCCACGTTGCTCCGAAGCAGCGCGGCCGCGGTGCCGCA